AAATAATAATAATATAAATACGTTCTCCTTCGTTACACTCATAGTTATTATCACTGGATTTCAAGAATGTTTGACTGTGTGCCTATATACCAAGGTGCATATTAATATTATGTATCATATACATATATCGTATATATATATATTATTTCTCCAGAAGATAATGAGTCACGTATTGTGATGGTATCCATAACATGCACATATATTATTATCATATTATATTTAAACACAATAATAGTATAATTGCATTTTATTTCATTTGAAATCATAGTTTTTACACCACACTAAAAAGTCTCTAAACACATTAAACTAATTGAATCTATTTGTATATATAAGAATTATACGTATTAGGTAGGTAGGTAACATTATACTATGTTTTAATTTTGGTAGGTACTTTTGGTAATTATAAATTATACACACCGTGGATATATTGAATACGTATAATATAATATAATATAATATAATACCTAATATTAATATTAATAATATTATAATATTAATTTTAATTGGCGTAGTAATTATTATTTTCATTATATATAATTTGTAAGCTTTATACTAAGTTTATATGTACATAAAACGGATTCACATGTGTACCTACGCTTGTGTATATAACTATATATACATATTACAGCTGTAGTAAGATGAATTTTTATTACGAACCAAAATTACATTTGGATAATATAATATTGTGCATACGACATACCCAAAAATTAATAAATATATAGGTACTGTGATAAAATGTATAATATGATAACATACCTATAAGTTWCTCTTCAATATTTATTTATCTTTATAAGCTAATATAAGCGTCATAATTATAATTAAATTTTGCAGAAATATTTGATGAGGTACGAGATTTCAATAAAAGAGTTGCTATGCTATGATTACTATATTGATATATAGATGTGATTGCGCGTCGTTAGCGATTCTCGCGCCTTCGATGTTGTTTAAAATTGAATGTTATGAAACGCGTTCCGAATGGTCTTGGCARTTCTACGCAGTTATTCACGGTTTTAGGAAAATTTGCGCATTACGACTTGGTAGCACGTCTTCGGCCGACGACTTCTTCGACGAGTATCTTTTTTTTTTTTAATTATAAAATGGTCTCGACCGTGGTTGATTTATACGTATGCAAGTCGAGTGCAGCGCGGCGGTGGCTGAGAAAACGTGGAAATTGCGAATAATTTATGTAGGTACTCGCGCGCCAGCACACATCCACACTCACAGTTTCACACACACACACACACACACACACCACACACATAACTGTGGCCCCGGAAAGCAAGGGTTAGACGTTTCTTGGTAGCGGTCATTCTCGTTTTAATATACCCTTTCCGGTGGGGATGGGGGTGGTTGCGGGTGAGGGATTCGTCCTTTTCGTCGGCGGCGACAGATCCTCCGAATAATATAGTGCATTATATAATATCATATGTACACATATACACGTACGCCGTACACATAGACGCACACACACATTTGCGCGGTTGTCCCGTGTAAATACGGGAATGTTATTTAAATCGGGAGGTATGTGCGCGTGTCTTTATGTAAATACGCACACTTTCGGGGTGGCTTTATAGGGAGGGAAGGGGACTACCACCGGACCGGGCCGGACCTTATTAGCGGACTACGACCGCGTTTCTTGCGCGCTCGAAACACACAATGTGTGTCCGGCCCGCCACGTATATAATATATAATATATATCTGAAATTATACAATTACATACGCGAATAGTATATATATATATTATTATATACCGT